TTTCGAGGGGTGCAAACGGTCGCCGAGCCAGGCGCGGGGCAGTATGTGAGAACATGCAGTAAGACCAATCAAGATCCCCTTGAAAGGAATGCCCTTACTAGCCGTATGTCCCCCAAATTCAGCACAACAAAGAGATGCATTGACGGCAACAGATTTGGGCCCTAAAGGTCTTGTCCTTTTCGGCCTGGTCCCACTGAGTCCCGAAGGTCCCAAGTAGTTCGTGGACCAGGCCCAACGAGATAGGTATACCAAGTCAGTCCCAAACTACCTCTACTGTACTGAAAAGGAAAAAACAACTTTCAACAAGAACTTACCCCTACAACGGTTCATAAGTGAAAAGACAATGCACCGTAGCAAGATATGTCATTAAGAGCAAGATACATCATCCATCCATCCATCAGGTGAGAAAGCAATCCACATGCTCACACAAACAACCAAGACCGCAGAGAACAGGAAGAGAGCTTAACACACCCTAACAGGCCATGAAGCACCAAGCAACCTCCCACGGGCATAACCAGGTTACACGACACTTACCTGTGAGGCCCGGCCCTCAAATGGATAAGGACTCACCCCCCTCTCTCATAGGTCCTCCTGACCCCTAGCTACCACTACACGTAGTGTCCTAGCATGACTAAGAGAGCCTCCCTACACCCCTGTTACAACGCCGGATCCCCCGTCGATGTCTGAAGACCAAAGTAACAACTTGCAGCTCTTCGATGCAGATATGGCAGCCTCCGATCAAGTCTCTCTCTTAAGGGGAAGCCCAAAAGTCACTCAATGTCTTCTTGAAGTGCAGATTCCAGGTGCGAGTACCTCTCACTCTCTACTCCCTCTCGCTTACTCCAATCAGCCTCCTTTGTGTCTCGCCACCCCATCCAATCACACAAGCAACCTGGTCAGGTCTGATGTCGACCCTACATGACCTAACCAGGTGGAGGCAGTATCCACATACCTCATTGCCCCTCTTAACCCTAACTTCCCAGCCCTAATCCGAGATTAGGTTAGCCCTGACATAATTCGGAATTAGGTTTAGGGTGACTAACACCTCTTGCCAGCAAGTAAGTCCGCTCCGATACCAATTGTTGCGATCCTGGTCATTCCCAAAGTGCAAATTCACAATGAAAGACAATGCCACCCAATTGCAAAAGAAATGAAAGCACTTGCAAAGAGATAGAGACCGGAGAAGAGGGAAAGAAGAAAAAGAAGAAGAAGAAGAAGAAGAAGAAGATGTACACCAGCAACACCAATGATAAATACCCCCTTCTCTCTCCACCTTCCTCCTCCTCCTTAACCTCTCCAATCTTATTCTTCCCGATAATAATAATAACAATGAGTGGATGAACCAGAATCAATATCCGAAGTTCCCTCTTACTGCTGACTCAACAACAACAACAACAACAAGTCCACCATAGCTATGGCTTCCCTCCTTCTTCCTCCTCTCACATGCCTAGGCTATGACGGTCTACTGAGGGCCCTACCCTCTTGTCCAAAGGATAACCCAAAGCAGCTATGCCGCTGCACTCCTGTCCAAAGGACAACCCAAAGCAGCTATGCCGCTGCTGACTAAGACGCCATGCCTGACTCTGCCTCGAGCTTCCTTGGTGCGGCGCTACCCCAACTGGGGCCTTCCAGATGCAGCGCCCAACAAGGTGATGAAGATGATGGTGTCCACCATAGCCAGGTAGGTGCCTCGCCACTCTCCTCCTTCGCCCCCTTCTTCCTCCTCCTTAGGCTGGGCTGCTCGCCATAGCCAGGCTGAGCGCCCAGCTGCCCTTCACCTCCAGGCAGCACTGTACCAGTCCAGCGCTTCGCTTAACAGCATGTCGCCAATCCTTGCATACCGCAAATGAGGAGGAGCTACTTGCTCCTCCGAAGATATAGCGGCCTACTGGCCTCTTGGGCGGTGACTTCCTAGGCCGAGCGGCCTCCCAGCAACCGGTACCTCCTCCCTTTCGGAGGGAAACATCATTGCGGGCTCTGCTATCGTCCGGACAGGCCCTAGCCCCGGGCTACTTGGACAGGTACCGGCCTACCTCTAACCTACCGCTACTGGGCCTCTAAAAATGCCAACTTTTGTCTTTTTCGTCTCGGCCTCCAGTACCCGATACTTCTACCACTACCTAAGTGGTACCGGCCTACCTGCTACTTGAGTGTTTTTTCCCCGCTGCTCTTAAGTGTCGCGGGCCTACCCCCGCTACTTGAGTGTTTTCCCCGCTGCAACCCTCAAAGTCACGACCACAGGTAAGTACCGGCCCTGCAGGGCCTTTCAACCAACAAGTACCCTTGCGGGTCACACAACACAGACTCAGCCGACAAGCACTCAGACAGGCATGCAAACCAGCAGGCACGCAAGCACACACAGACATGGAAACCACAGCAGAATGCGGGAATCTCAGCAAGGCATTCATTCCAGGGGCAAATCCCATAAATCAGCAGTGTACTCAGTCTGTGTTTTTGGCGGGTCAATACATCGGATGAGTTTGTGCTGGTTGACGGGTTGCTGTTCCTTGAGAAGGCTGGGAATAAACGTTTGTGTGTTCCAAATCAAGAGTCTTTGCATAGTTTTTAGGTGAATGCCACGATGCAACCGAACATTTTGGCTATAAGAAGACAACAACAAACTTACTGCAGCAGTTCTGTTTGCCCACAATGATGGATGATGCAAAGAAGTTTGTAGAAACTTGCCAGGTTTGCCAGCGTGACAAGGCACAGATGCAGGCACCGCTAGGGCTTATCAAGCCCTTGCCCATTTCTGCAGGTCCAGGTGAAAGTGTGTCCATGGATTTCATGGATACCCTTGTTACCAGCAAGAGCGGTAAACGACACATCTTCGTCATTGTAGACAGGTTCACTAAGTATGCTAGACTAATCGCTATGCTTGAGACAGCTAGGACTGACCATGTCATCAAGCTATTTACGGACAACTGGGTACGTGACTTCTGTCTGCCTAAGTCTATTGTGAGTGACAAGGATGTCAGATTCACTAGCAAACTGTGGCAAAGTACAGCCCAACAGATGGGCACTCGACTGCAAATGACACCATGGAACCACCCTGAGTAAAATGGACAGGCCGAACAGATGAACCGGGTAGTGCAACACTTGGTTTTGGCATTATATTAAGCCAAGTCAAGATGACTGGGATGACAAGTTATCTCTCATCGCTAGCCTGTATAACAATGCTGTGCATAGCACTACCGGTAAGATCCCCAACCAGCTGCATCTTGGTTGGAAGCCCAAATCTGCTCTTGACTTCCTATTGCCTGAAAACCAGCCAACCACAGCACCTGGTAGCATAGAGTTTGCTGTTAAGTATGAACAGATACCACAGCAAGCTGTAGAGCACATCAAGAAAGCCTCAAGATGCCATGGTTGCATCTGAGAACAAACACAGACGACAGTCTGCATTTCAGGTAGGTGAACGAGTCTGGGTAAGGTCATCTGAGTTGGGACAGGAGTTGGGAATCTCACGTAAATTAATGCCACAGTACTTTGGACCCTGGGAAATCCTTGATAGAGTGGGGAATCAACCAGATGGTCCTTCATATGTCATTCACATCCCTGGTCAGCTCCGCCCGCACACACCCTGTTTTCCAAGCCTCCAAGTAGGCACCTTTCGCTGAAACTGAGCAGTTTCCCTCGAGAAGATCTATGCTGCCCCCAACCACGGATGGACCCGTGGGCATCGACGACATTGTCGAGCACACGCTGATGCCTGTGCCCAAGCCTCCAGGCAGGGGACGCCCTCTGAAACCGCAGATGCTGTACCGAGTGCGGTTCAGACACCATAGGGATCCTAAAGAAGATCGGTGGTTCACAAGAGAAGAGCTAATGAAGACTGCTCCCCAAATTATCTCAAGCTATGAACAAAATTGAAAGGGAAGCAGCCAGCTGTGTAACGACTTCTCAGAGGACTATCGAAGTAAAAGAGGAGGGAGTGCGAGGGTTATTGCCTCGGCATAGGGCCCTGCAGCAGGCATGTGCCCACCCTAAGTGAAGGCTGGCCCCCTGAATGTCAATGCGCCCTGAACTCGTCAATTTTTGCAAATATTGGTCGGCGCCAGACAGTTGCCACGCCCCAGTTGGTTACATCCGCCTTGCTCGTGAGAATCCAAAATATTTGTGAGCCTTCCAGGCTCTTCCGGCACATGGTAGAGGCGGGGAGCACCTCACGTTTGTGCCTGGGTGGTTGGGTATGCCAATTCGGTCCCAGGCCACTGTCTGAATGGGCCTGGGTGCAGACACTTTGGCCGAGACTGAAGCTACTGGAAACTCGGTCTCACGTGGGAAGCGAGCGAAAGCACCCGCCACTTTCCATATAGGAAAGGGCAGGGCGCCAGGGAGGACATTTGGCACTTGTACTTGCGAGCGGCAGCGCTATTGGAGCTTTGTCTCGCGGGCTGCTTGCTGCACTAGAGGTAGTTGCGGGCGCACAAGGGCGTCAAGAGGGTATAGGGCGCTGCTGACGGCAGCGCCATAGCCCAGCCTTCATAGCCAGGCTGGGGCTTAGACATAGCCGGTGGAGGTGGTGGTGGTCTTCGTGCATGCGAGAGAAGACGTGGGTAGAGAGGACGAGGGAGATAGTGAGAGAGATGAGGATGATGATGTCAGGGTGCGTACCTGGTCTTGGTGATGGTCTACAAGGGTCGACATCTTCATGTACTTCGGTTCTGCTGCTGACATCAACAGGAGGCATTGTCACTTCGTAGGCTGCTAGTAAGCTGTGAGGCCGTAGTCCGGGTGCTGAGCGCCAAGTAGGAGGAAGGACTCTGGATACATATATTGGTGGTGGCGAGAGTATGCTTTCATTGACAATTGTTCCTCCGTTGGTGGAATATCAGTGCATTACTTCTTTCTGGACAGTGTCTGGAATTGCTGGCTTTCAATGTGATTTTTGCACTCTGGGATTTCTGTCATTTCGTTATTGCTCATTTTCCTTGCAGTAGGAAGGAGTGCAGCAATGGCTGTGGGGGTCCTGATCAGCCAAACAGATGAAGACTCACCACAAATCTCTAAATTTGGCTGAGACAGTACTTGGAGGCTCAAGTCGTCAAATCTGTCACCAGTGCAATTAAGGAGTTCAGCTGAAGTAATCATGCACAGTTTGGAGCAGTCTTCAGTCTTGAAGGGCGCATTAGTACAGGCAATACCTGCTAGCGTCAGTTGCTGTCAGGGAAACAGTCACAAGGTAAGTCGATTGAAGTCAGTTCGTGCTTAAACCAGAAATCCAATACCACAACAACGGAGAAAAGAAAGAAGAAAAGAAATAATGCCAGAAGAATAGAGGAAGAATGAAGAGAAGAAATGAAAAAGTTGAGGAAAGGAGGAAAAAAAAGGAAGAAAGAAGGGCAAAAAGAAGGCAAGAAAGGCGAAAGGAAGCTACCAAGAAATAACAGGAGGATCACACAGGCTCAACAGGGAGGAGAGCATTCAGGAGCGTCAGACCCGCTGGAGCCGGCTCGGTCACCGAGATCAAGTGTGGGTCTGGATCTAGCATGAAAAGGAACAACTAGGGTTTAGGGTTTAATAAACCAGAGCAGCAGCTCGCAACGAAGTATGATAGCTGAAGAGATTGAGGCCTCATCGGAATTGGTTCATCGCCCTAGAGCGTCAAGAATAGCCGACAGCTAGAGTATCCGAGAGGAGTATAGAAGTCACAGTTAGGATACATATGAGTGGGAAGGTTGAAGACAGTCTGCACCGAGTGGTTGCTCGTCAGCTGAACTGGGTAAGGCTCCCAGGATAACCCTGGGTCGAATTGTGAGGTCCTCGGCCTCAAACATCATTTGAAATATAGCAAAGGCTTTGGTTTTGAAAAAACAAAAAAAAAGGAGGGGTGGAAGGAATGAAGAATGAAACAGCCATATAGCTGAATGGTGCACAGACATTACTGTTGATGAATAGACCATAAGTTCAAATTCTTATGGAATCAGCTGGGCACAATATCTCTATTCAGGACTACTAGGCATGGTCTGTCTCACAAGGCATTCACTGTATGCATCTCACAGCAACAGAGCAAGCTGCTGTCAAGATCGTCCAGAACCCCTTTACTTGGATATGGAACAGAGGGGGACTCAGGCGTGGTGCTTCTTCTTATTCTGGATAAAGATTCAAGAATCAAGATATGTCTGATATGAACATTTGTTTTGGAACTATCCGTTTCAAACAGTGATCTTTCATTTCATGATAGTGATTTCAAGAATACCCTCCAAAGAACTGCGAGGTACTCTTTTATGGACAACAACTGGCGGGGTGCGGGGAACTCGTGGGAAAAAGCACACGGGGGAAAGAAAAAGGAAAAAAATCAAACATAATTCGTGGGATCAGGATTTATATTTTCACCGGATACAGATGCAGACAGCAAGATGAAGTGTAAAGTTTAGCTTTTCCTGTTTTAACTTTTTAGTAAGTTCACACGGTAGGACACATGCGTATGAGTAGAGAGGCAAGCGTTCATTTCATCGTCGATCCCCTTTGCACAGACAGACAAGAGGGGAATAGTACTACGCTCGATTCGTCTCCAGTGCCGAGCACATGACCAATTTCACTCAACCGATTTTAAGAAAAAGGATGGACCAGATACATCCCAGACCCTGCTTCACTAGATGATCGCTCGACGGACACCCAGCACCTAACTCACTCAAAATCACAAGTCCATAGCCCACCGTTTCTCTCCATCCACCCCTTGCTCATCTTCACACCACAGTGCCCTGCCTGTCTCTTATACACATCTAGATGTGTATAAGAGACAGTCCCAGACCCTGCTTCACTAGATGATCGCTCGACGGACACCCAGCACCTAACTCACTCAAAATCACAAGTCCATAGCCCACCGTTTCTCTCCATCCACCCCTTGCTCATCTTCACACCACAGTGCCCTGCCATCCCCGCCCCCCCAACCCCTCCCCACACCCCCCATCCACACCAACACACCATCCTCGCTTCCAAGGAGGATCGATAATAGCCCGATAGAAAGTCATCACCAAGACCACTCTCCACCAACCCAACTACCTTCCATATCACTCAATTGTCCTTCCTCCTTCCTCCTCGAACTTCCTCATGGGTCCTGGGGACCATCTCACGCAAGAGTGTACATGTCATGCATCATCCTCGCACACAATGATTGAAAGTCCCACACATTAGACAAAGGTAGATGAGAAGAGAACCGAGATGCACAACTTATATTATTAAAATTATGATTACAAAGAGTTTCTTAGTTTCCTGAGTCCAGCGCTCATCAGCGCTCTGCAAATCTCTCATCCTACTCAACTAAGTGGCTGCTACACATCAGCGCCACCTCTGCAGTTCACATCCAACTCAGGTATGTATTCCTCATAGCAAAACCTCGCATGAACACTCTTTGTCTCAGTCCCTTCCTCCTACGATGCATACACGCTCCTCACTCACAAGGATCTACTCTGAATGCTACTCATAGATAACTGCCACTAACCCTCTAAGTCTATACTAACTTGCTGGGCAGCTATGGCTGCATCTCTGTCCAGCGCACAGTCTTCTTCCTCACATAGCGCATCTTCTTCCTCCACCACTGCTCCTTCTGACTGGCGCACAAGTGCCTCAGCACTTCCACGCGCAGAATGCCAGTGGAGATCTGGCTTGAAATGAGGCTGGCTGTGGCTTTTATAGTGCTGGCCTCTTCTCGCTGGGTCTGCATTGGCTCATTCAGGCCTTCCTTTGTCCGAGACCCTGCATTGCATGTGTCCCAGTACTGTCCCAATGAAGTCAACTGTTGCTGAGGCCTCTCGACCTAGATTTGGACTTGGACGTCTGGATCTGGACTGTCCCATAGGCTTAGACCAGAACTGGGACTCTGTTTATTGACTTACTTTCGCACAGGCACAACTTTGGACGAACAGACACACCTACTGCCTGAATAGACATTCACATTGTGTGAATAGACACTCCCTTTCTGCGCGAACAGACACACTAACTGCACATACAAACACACCCTTATTTGAACAGACATGACATGTGCACCTCCTGGCAAACAGGTATGTCCTTCTGCAATGACTTTTGCTTTAGTTTAGAATGTGCCCTTTGATAGAGAACCTGACCTTTGACCTGCTTTCACATTTCTGGGTCCTGGCGAGATACCCCTTCACGATGCTTTACTTTTACAAGGCCTGTATCGAGTAAAGACCCTTTTACTCTCGCCGGCCTAGTTTCGAAGTCCTCTGAGAAATCATTTACCTATCAATGATGTGGATTCCTCTCCTTTCTCTTTCATATGTAGACACAATATGAGGTGCAAAATCTAACAATTTTTCTCTTGTGAACCAGCGATCTTCACTAGGATCCTGGTATGCAAATCTCACCTTATATTGACGCTGTGGTCTGCCTCTACGACCAGTGTGGAAAGTACTTTCTGCAACAATCTTTTCCACGTCATACTTCCCACTCATACTTGGAGGTATCGCTGATCTGCGACTTGGAAATAACTCCTTTGTTACACAAGGTAAGAGTTTGGATGCGTGGAACACTGGATAGGTATGTAGGTGTAAAGGAATCTCAATAACATACGAAGGACCATCTACATCTCCAATCACGTCTAAGACTTGCCAAGGCCCTCTGTAGGCGGGTAGGAGTTTTTGAGAAATGTTTTCCTCAGGAGCGAACTCCTTAGACTTTACCCAAACTAAGTCTCCTACAGTAAATTGAGATGGTCATCTGTGTTTATTCGCCTGTTCAATCATTTGATGTTGTGCTTTATTATATTTTCCTTTACCTTCTAAATGTCCTTTTGGTATTGAATTGCGAATTCACTAGTTCCTAGAGGAAGCTTATGTACTTGATCCGGGTTTAATCGATCAATGGGTTTGTGTGGCGTCATCCCAGATGTAACTCCATAGGAGTCTTACATGTAGACAGATGCACAGAGTTGTTATAGGCACTAGCAACCTTAGGCAAATGTTCATCCCATTCAATCTAGTCGAGACGAATGTACATGCGCAAAGTCTGTTGCAATATCTTGTTCATCTGCTCAACTTGGCCATTAGTCTCAGGATGTCTACCTGACGACATAGTCAACTTAGAGCCATACACATTCATTAGTTGCTGCCATTGTTCACTTGTGAACCTTGTATCTCTGTCACTTACAATAGTCAAGGGATGTCCAAAATCTTTTACCCAGTGGTTAAAGAACTCCCAAATCACCAAACAGTCTTCGCTTCCGAAGGCAAAGCTACAAAGACATCATACTTAGTGAACCTATCCACTATTACCATCACTTGGGTTTTTTCGTTTCAGCTTTTCACCTTAGTATCCATGAAGTCTATAGATACAGAGTCTCCAAGGCCTGTAGGGATAGGCAAGGGCTTGAGCAACCCAAGGGGAGATTGTGTGGTGCTTTTGTTTCTTTGGCACACTTGACAACCTTGCACATACGCGATGCAGTCTGCTTTCATGCGAGGCCAGGTGTAGGAACGTAACAAAGTCCCATCGGTCTTCTTCCACCCAAAGTGGCCTTCGGTATCATGACATTCCCCTAAGATCAAGCTCTTGATCGTTTCATCATTCGGTATGCATAGCCTATCATTCACATCAGTTCTTTCAAACAATAGACCCTGAGTAACCTTGTGATCAGGAAACTCTGCTGGCGCTTCTTGTACACGCTTAATCATCGTTCCATAGACAAGATCAGAGGAATACACACTCCTAATCTTCTCTTGTAGATTAGTACCAACATCTAAATATGTCACAATGGCACCGAAAAAGTCAGATATACGACTTAGTGCATCAGCAACGACATTATATTTACCCTTTACTGGCTTTAGCTCAAAGTCAAACAGATCAATCTCCGCAACCCACCTTGTTAACTTAGGTGTCATTCGAGCTTGCATTTTGAGCTAGCGAAGTGTTTCATGGTCACTTTATACCTTAAAATGCCTTCCCATAAGATAGTGTCACCAATGATTGAGAGCCTCACGAAGAGCATACAACTCTCTTTCATACGTCGAAGCGACCACTTTCTCGTTAGGCAACCGGCAAGACATAATCTCCACAGGTCTGTATCCATGTCCATCATCTTGCTGGAGTACAACACCTATACCATATTGACTAGCGTCGGTTGTGACCACAAAAGGCAAGGAAGGGTCCGCCACTTTCAAAACCGGGCAGTTGATCAAACACTTTTTCAGACGCTTAAATGA